TAAAACTATAGAACACTAAAGAAAGAAATTAATGAAAACTTAACAAGTGCAAAGATCTCCCATGTTCTTGGAAAGACAGAATTAATGTTGTCAAAATGGCCAGTCTACCAAAAGCACTATACAGATTCAATGCAATTTCCACAAAATTCCAACAACATTCTTCATAGAAATAGAAAAGGCAGTCATGAAATTCATTGGAAAAAAAAGAGATCCAGAATAGCCACAGAAATCCTTAGCAAGAAAGCAAAGCAAGACACATCACAATGTCACACTCCAAATTATACTACAGAGCTATTGTAACAAAAATAGCATGGCATTGGAACCAAAACAGGCATAAAGATGAATGGAATAGAATAGAAGACACAGAGACAAAACCAAATAAATACAGTTATCTCATACTAGACAAAGGTAGCAAAATTATACATTTGAGAAAAAAATGGCCTTTTTAAGCAGTGGTGCTGGAAAAACTGGAAATCCATGTATAGCAAAGTGGAATTTAACTCCTATCTCACATCCTGCACAAAATTCAACTCAAAGTGGATCAAAGACCTAGAAATTAGAACAGAAACCCTGCACCTGCCAGAAGAAAATATAGGTCCAACACTCCTAACAGGTTGACTCAGGAACTGTCTTCCTTACAAAAGTCCTAAAGCACAAGAAGTTAAATCAGGAATCAATAAAATGGGATGGCATCAAATTATAAAGCTTCTTCCCAGCAAAGGAAACAATCAAGAGTGTGAAGACAGAGCCTACAGCATGGGAGAATATCTTTGCCACCTGCTCCAAAGATAGGGCATTAATATTCAGGATATACAAAGAACTCAAAAAACTTAACACCCAAAAAACAAACTACCCAATCAATAAATGGGCAAAGGCATTAAACAGATACTTCTCAAAGACAGACAGAAAGAAAGAAAGAAAGAAAGAAAGAAAGAAAGAAAGAAAGAAAGAAAGAAAGAAAGAAAGAAAGAAAGAGTCAACAAATATATTTAAAAATGTTAAATATCTCTAGCAATTAGAGAAATGCAAATAAAACTACACTGAGATTTCATCTGTCTCCAAACAGAATGACAATTATCAAGAATGCAAGTAAAAATAAATGTTGGTGAGGACTTGGAGAAAAGGGTACACCCAATACACAAAGAGGGAATGAAGGGAAGAGAGACGGGATGGGATATGGAAAGACAGTAAATGAATCTAATATTACTTTCCTATGTACATATATAAATATACCACAGTGAATCTCACCATTGTGCACATTCATAAGAAACTAATTTAAAAAAATAACTATGGGTAAATGAAAGAAAGATCAATAGAGAAAAGGGAACAGGGGATTGGGGAGGAAGGGGAATGAGAGGTACTAGGGATTGAATTAAAACATGATGAATTCCATGCTTTTATAATTATGTCAAAATGGATTCTACTGTCATGTATAACTAAAATGAAACAATAAAAATACCCATCACCAACTTCAGAAAGAATCATGTAAATATGTTCAAATGTACAAAAAATAATACAATAATTTGAGTTTATTCAGAGGTAGAAGTTCAAGGTAGAAGAGCCTATTCTCACATTAACTTAAGAAAAGCAGCACACTTTAGCTATTGCGAATTGTGCTGCTATAAACATTGATGTAGCTGTGTCCCTGTAGTATGCTGTTTTTAAGTCATTTGGGTATAGACTGAGAAGAGGGATAGGTGGGTCAAATGATGGTTCCATTCCCAATTTTCCAAGAAATATCCATACTGCTTTCCATATTGGCTGCACCAATTTGCAGTCCCACCAGCAGTGTATGAGTGTGCCTTTTTCCCTACATGCTTTCCAATACTTATTGTTGTTTGTATGCATAATAGCTGTCATTCTCACTGGAGTGAGATAAAATCTTAGAGTGGTTTTGATTTGCATTTCTCTAATTGCTAGAGATGATAAACATTTTTTCATGTATTTGTTGATTGATTATATGTCATCTTCTGAGAAGTGTCTCTTCAAGTCCTTGGCCCATTTATTGATTGGGTTATTTATTTATTTATTTATTTATTTATTTATTTATGGTGTTTAGCTTTTTGAGTTCTTTATAGACTCTAGAGATTAGTGCTCTATCTGATGTGTGAGGGGTAAAGATTTGCTCCCAAGATGTAGGCTCTCTATTCACCTCACAGATTGTTTCTTTTGCTGAGAATAAACTTTTTAGTTTGAGTTCATCCCATTTATTGATTCTTGATTTTAATTCTTGAGCCACAGGAGTCTTATTAAGGAAGTTGGGGCCTAATCCCACATGATGGAGATTAGGGCCTACTTTTGCTTCTATTAGATGCAGGGTCTTAGGTTGTATTCCTAAGTCATTGATCCATTTTGAGTTGAGTTTTGTGTATGGTGAGAGACAAGGGTTTAATTTCATTTTGTTGCATATGGATTTCCAGTTTTCCCAGCACCATTTGTTGAAGAGGCTATTTTTTCCAGTGAATGTTCTTGGCACCTTTGTCTAATATAAGATAACTGTAATTTTGTGGGTTAGTCTCTGTGTCCTCTATTCAATACCATTGGTCTACTAGTCTGTTTTGGTGCCAATACCATGCTGTTTTTGTTATTATTGTATTATATTTTTGTTTTATAGTATAGTTTAAGTCCTGGTATAGTGATGTCACCTGCTTCACTCTTCCTGCTAAGGATTGATTTAGCTATTCTGGGTCTCTTATTTTTCCAAATGGATTTCATGATTGCTTTTTCTATTTCTATGAGGAATGTCATTGGAATTTTGATCAGAATTGCATTAAATCTGCATAGTGCTTCATCAATGTTTATAATAGCACAATTCACAATAGCTAAACTGTGGAACCAAACTAGATGCCCTTCAATAGATGAATGGATTAAAAAGTGTGGCATATATACACAATGGAATATTACTCAGCAATAAAAGAGAATAAAATCATGGCATTTGCAGGTAAATGGATGGAGTTAGAGAAGATAATGCTAAGTAAAGTTAGCCAATCCCAAAAAACCAAATGCCAAACGTTTTCTTAGATATAAGGAGGCTGGATTCATAGTGGGATAAGGAGGGGCAGCATGGGAGGAATAGATAAACTCTACATAGGGCGGAGGGGTGGTAGGGGAAGGGAGGGGGCATGGGGTAATTAATGATGGTGGAATGTGATGGTCATTATTATCCAAAATACAGGTCTGAAGACACAATTGGTGTGAATATACTGTGTAAACAACCAGAGAAATTGTGCTCTATAGTGTAATAAGAATTGTAATGTATTCCATTGTCATATATAAATAAAAAGAAAAGAAAAGAAAAGCAGCACAAAGCTCCTGCTCAGCTGGGTATGGAGTATTGAGTGGGGCTGACTGTGAAGCTGCTGCCTGGCTGCTCTGCATGTCTTCTCTTCCTCCCTTTCCTGGTTATGGATCCTGACCTCTCCCACAGAGATCTAGAACTGAAATCTTGTCAATACCATTCCTCCATTATTTTGGATCTAGTGATTGATCCTGAAGTGCTAGTGGCCAAATAAGAATTATCCATATTAACCCAGGTCTGATATACAAATCTTGAAAAAGAAGTGTTTTCACCAGGGCTTACTGAGCTGGGATAACTGAGTCTATTCCCCCTCTTCCTCACCACCATTGTGTATAACAAAAGCTCTTGGACCGCAGGAGAAAATGAGGCTAAGTGTCATGAGCAGCAGAGGTAAGCACAAAAGAGAAAGAGAGATGTCAGCAGCATTTTGTCCTTGGCCTCAGTTCCTGTTAGTCCTCAAGGGCCTGGTTCTTCTACTTCTTCAATTCTGTTAGAGTTTGCAATGTCCTTCCCAGAGGCACAAGCCAAATATCGATCTGTTGCTTACGGTTCTCATGGTTGTGACTCACTTCCTTGCCCTGATTAATATTTTGAGTAAGTGATCTCCTGACAGGCAGGATAAGGAAGGAGATTCTGGGAAGAGAGAAGCCGGACACAGTCATGAAAGCATACAGCACCATTGCAGAAGAAAGTAGCCTGGGTTCAGAGGGATGAGCTCTGTCAAGAAACAAGGCCAGCATGTAGGCAAAAGCCAGACTGAGAGAAAAAGACTTTATTTTTTTTTTAATTCTCACTTCAAGTACCACCATGTGTCTCAATGCAAAGGGCCTTACACTTGACAAGGTGACCCAGCAGAGAAAACTTAGGTTAAATAAACCTTGGCTAAGTAGTTATTTTCTAATGGTTAAAATTTCTGCTTCATCTCAGGCATTAACATTTTAATAGTGGCCTGTGCCACACAAAAAATCTTTACTATACCCAAAGGATCCACTTTTTATGCTGGAATTCAAGCCCAGTGGGCAGGCAAGTTGAACAGACCTTGTAAGAGGGAAAGGAACCACTCTCCAGCTTCCTTCAAATCATGCCAAGTGAACCAAGGCTTACTTGGCCTCCCAGCAAGCCCTGCTCCCTCTCTAAACCACTCTTCCAAGGTGTGCACCACATTCTCCCAACAATGTGCAGAATGCTGTTTACTCTAGGAATCTCACCCACACCTACTACTTCCTCTTGGAAAGAAAAATCCAGGGAAATGTTGTCTTTGTGTTTCCACTGAATCACAAGTAGTACTACTGATGTTCGCAGACTATAAATGTGGATCTAGTCACTGTTTCCTAAGAGTTAAAATTTTAGAGGACACATAGAAATATTAAAAATTCCCTTGCAGATTATCTACTTGAAGTTTAAGCAATAAGGTTATTCCTGGTGGGATCTGAAGTTGAGCACGGAGAAAAGATTATACTGCCATACTATGTCACAATCATTAAATAACATTTATTATCTGCCATCTGATCTATAGATAAATAGAGATGGTCTCAATGAAAGTGATTTATGATATTTCCTGCTTTTTCACATAAAATGAGAACAACTATAAATGGAGACATAATCAAATAAAAAAGCATGGAAGTGGCATTTAAAGTTGATAATGCAGTTCCACACAATGATAGATTCAAGCACCCTGCATCAAGACAAAAGCAAATACAAATTCAATGATCATGTGTTTGCAGTTTATTTCCTATTTATGTTGTGAGAAATTATCATTTAACTACTTGTAACATGGTACAGGAGTTATACTGTGTGTACTTAAGCCATTCCAAACATTTCACCACCTTACTTAATTCAGTACATAGTCCTTAGAGGCTTATGAAACTCTAAGCTAACAAGAATGACCACATGCCAATATACTGACATGACAGCTTCATAGAAATGTGCAAAGAACAGCCAATTTAAGTACTTACACAGATTGGACTTCAGTGTCAGTCAGATGTTAAAAGTTTCAGAAACAGGTAACACACAGTAATACAGAACATGCCAAAATAAGAGTTAGATTATGTTTTAGGCAATTTTTTCCTATAGATCAAAAAAGGAAATCGAATTTAGAACAAGGATTTTCAATCTCAGAATTATTAACATTTGGAGCTAGATAATCCTTTATTGAGGAGGGCTATGTAACACATAGTAGGATGCTTAGTAGCCTCCCTGGTCTCCACCTGTTGGGTCCCCAGAGCAATCTCTGCAGTTGTGACAGATAAAACTATCTTCAAATATTTCCCACTGTCACACAGAGACAAAGTTAACATTAATCACTCTCCCACTCCATTGAGAACCACTGACCTAAAGAATTCTTATGAGAACCAAATGAAAAAAAGTTACTGTTTTTATAAGTTGTAAGTTACCTTACAAATAATCATATTTCTTTATATAATAATAGAACATTTTTCCAATCTTTTAATTGGACAAATTACATTTTTTAAATGGCATTCTTTCTTTTAGTAAAAACATAGTTATGTTTTTGGCCGGGTGTAGTGACTTTGGCCACATACATCAAGAAACAAGTCTTGCAGCTCTTCAAGAACAAGATCATTCTTTTCTCATATTTGCATCCCCAGAGCCTAATCCAGTTCCTGTATACATGGCTTGTATCCATAACTCTTTTGTGAAAGAAACAGAAAATCTTCATCAGGAGCAGTTGTGCACGACTATAATCCCAGCTTTTCAGGAGGCTGAGGCAGAAGGATCATGAGTTCAAAGCCAGCCTCAGCAAAAGCAAGGTACTAAGCAACTCAGTGAGACCCTGCTTCTAAATAAAATACAAAATAGGGCTGGGGATACAGCCCCTGAGTTCAATCCCCAGGACACAAATACACACACACACACAAACACACACACACAGGAGGTCTTCAAAGAGAATTTACTGTGTATATTTTAAGAATGTTTCAACTTCAATGATTCTCATGAATGACATATATTTGGCATTTCTAACACTAGAAAAGCTCCTCCACAGGAGTGCATGGTTGGGGGGTGGGCATTGCTAATGAAACATCCTTAATCTATTCTACTATGAATTATATTTTTATATTATGCTAAGATTTCAATAATTTTCAGAAAGTTATCAAGTCTCCACTGCCACCGGAATAATTCACATTGCCATTATGGATCACTGAGATCAAACTAATAACTCATTCCTCTCTTATCTACTTTCACAAACTTCTTCCTTCCCGAGTTTTAAAAATGCCAAGTAAATTACATAAGCCTCTGTTGAGAGCAGAACAAAATTCCATTTTTTAAAATATGTCCCTCAAGACTCCTCAGGACCTGACTTCCCTCCAGGTTCCCATTCTTGTCGCAGGCTGCTCATCTGCTTTCCATTCTCCATCAGTCCTTTACCCTTCTCTCCTCTTAATGCTCAGGCTCTTCTCACTTGGGGCTTTCTCAAAAAATTCTCATTGCTTAGAAGACTTTTTCCTCCATACATTACCTGGCCATCTCCAACTCCATGTTGGTCTCAGTGTGCACTTCCATGAACACTAGCCACCCTCCACTGTCCACCACCATCAGCATTCTTAACTATGATGCAATTATGGCACACCCGTTTTTCTTCTTTATAGCATTTATAATAGCTGCAATCATACATTTGTGTGTGTGTGTGTGTGCTTTGTCTCTTATGGTTTACTTCTTCTAATAGAATGTTATAACAAGGTGTCATTTTGTACACTAGTACCTGGCACACAGGAAATGTCCAATAAGTATCTGTTGAATCAATGATTTCCTAAGTGAATAAGTGTGCACATTTTAACTTGAACCTCCTAAAGGAAAAGCTCTGGAAGCAACAATAGCCATTTTAGACTAGAAAAGAGAAAATTTTCAGATAAGAAATGTATTTGAGGGTCAGCAAGGCCAAGAAGGACCAATCCTTCACAGCACAGTGTATCTGCACCTATTTCTTCCTTCAGTGAAGAAGATTGACCCAGCATCTCTTCTCTTTAAATGCCCCCCAATTCATCTTCATTGAGGGTTATTATTTTCCTTAAAGCAGGTTAGAACTAAACAGGTAAACATGCAGCGAGAGCTTTGGTTCCCCAGTGGATAGTGATACCTTTGTGCCCTCTTGCCTCTGTGACAAACAATAAAATGTTATATGTTGCTCATCTGCTTGCAAACACCTTCAAATAAAGGCTCTCCTGCCTTAAAATGTATTTCCCAAGTTCTTCATTCCATTAGTTTTATTTCCCCTTTCTTTACCAATCTCACTTACTGTATTGTTCCAGCTACCACTTTATTCCAGATAAATTTTAGTTTTAACTCTAGCTGCAATTTATTTACCAAGCTCCAATCCCAGAGGTTTCAACCACCTGATGAATATCTCACTGGCTCCTCTTCCATAAGGTGGGCACTCCAAACTCTTTAAAGCAAAGCTTAAGCAATCATACTCTTCTTTCTCATCCCTCCATATCTGCTTTTGCAACCTCTATCCTCCAAAATAGGCTGTCTATGGACAATAGAGACACTGTTGATTCTTTTCCACAGTCCCCAAAAGTCAGAAGTAAGGAAACTTTGATTTCCTCTCTTATTTCTTTGATCTATTCCATCCTTTCCATACTAGTTGCCATCAATCTCTTCCAAGTCAATGTATTTCCTCCAAATCTAAACAATTGGGACAGTATCCTCATGAGTCATTCTACTTGGTCCATGCTCCAAACTATTTTTTCATTCTGTTTCCTGATGCCTGATCAATCTTCCTACAGGCTGTGCTCTATAGCCTAGCTTCCTATAGGCTCCTCCTCTGTTCCAAAATCTTCAAGGCCTTCTCAATGGTTACTGAAGTAAAAACACAAGTGTTATTAGTATTTTGGTTGGACAGTAAAGTCTCTCCATTAATATGGCTCCACCCTCTCTTTCTGCTCAACATGTTTTCAATACTGCATCCAAAGGAAAAGCCTCATGTTTTGTAAAACTGAGTTGTTTATTTATGCCTAAACTCAATATGAAAATCTCTTTTCTTTTTCTGCCAAAATCCTACCAACTATACCAATAAATGCTCTTGGAATATGGTATATATATTTACGCATACATACATTGATGTTATTGGAGTAACTACTTGGGTTACCCCTCCTACTAAATTGTTATCTTAAAGTTAAAATAGAATCTTACTTATATGTTCTCCACAGAGCTTATATGCAGGAATTATCATAGGTACTTACAATAAAAGCTTGAACACTAAATTCAGAAAGACCTGGACAAAAATCCTGGTTTTACCACTTGCTATATAATCTTTAGCAAGTGAGATGCTAAGTTTCTTCATATTCAAAATGTAGCTGCAATCCCAGAGTTTCCAACCCCTGCTGAATATCTCAGTGGTACCTCTTCCCTCTGGTGAAATAATATGAAAGATAATACAATAACTTCCTAAGTTATTGTAAAGATAAATAAAGCACTAACACAGTGTCTAACATGTGAAAGGCACTGGGTAAGACCTTTATTAGATGGTAATAGAGAACAAGATGTGTTGGTTAAGTTAAAATAAAATTAGCTTAATAAATCTTTCCTGCCCTCCAGGAGGTTATAATCTGATGGCAGAGAGAGTTACCATCATGTGTTATTATTATTAAGCATTCTAAGGAAAATGTAACATGAATGAATGATATCACCAGTAAATTCCAAGGTTGTGCAGCAGGGAGATTTCCTTCCTCCTGGGTGGATACGGTGTGTCCCCTGAAGTACAAGCAGCCTCTGCAAACTCCCCTGCCACATGAAACCCCCACAAGAATGGGCTTACTCTGATGAGTAAAGGGTTACTCATTTGCTTTTTCTTTAAAAGAAATAAAATGACAGTCATTTTAAATGAGCCATTAATCATTTATTTACTTCACTAATTACTTTACTGATTTCTTTTTTAATTACCTTTTTATTAAAGGCATCCTAATACAGGGACTAAAAATCTGGTCTGAACTGCACTCAGCCTTCCAGTTTAGATCAAGTATAAGAAGTCTGGTTCCATAGGTTGCATGATCTTAAAGGGGTCATCCTGTCCTGAGACCTCCTTAATATCAACAGTAGCATAAGAAATGTGGATATACTTTTTATAGGAAGCATCTAGCAAAGAGTGAGGTGATGAGCCCCACTTTAAAACAATTCAGTGAGTTCATATGGTAGGTCTACAAAGCTTTCTCTCCATGTCATAAGCAAAGAAAACCTTTGCTAGTGCTCCACCTCTTGCACCATTAATCCCCCAGCATGAAGGACCCAGTTTGGAAAGTGGAATATAAAGAATCTGGCCTTTCTAATTACCAGATAGGTATCATATAGATAGATAAATGTCAGAATTTATGCCTATAAACCTATTGACTATTGAAGCACAATTCAGGTTATGTGGAACAATTTTGAAAGAAATGGGGAAATTAATTACTGAGAATTTCAAAGAGTGATGATGTATTTTTTAACTCTCAAACTGGAAGTTAAAATAAGAATGGTTATTTAAAAACAATCAAAGGTGAGATGACATTTTTGATGGATTGTATGTTTGTGTGCAATCAAGTGATTTAGGATACTTTTCAGATTATGTGTGTGTGTGTGTGTACATGTTTGTTTTGTTTGTGTGTGTTTAATCTTGGTTTCCTGGAATCACTGTGCATCTTAGTCTGAATTATGGCACTAAGATATCCATTTCCTAATCACAGTACCTATGAATGTTACCTCTGTGGCAAAAGAGATTTTGTTAAGTTAAGGATCTGAAGGTGGGAGGATGTACTGGATAAATTATCCAGGTGGGTTCTAAATGTAGCCATAAGCATCGCAATGAGAAAGAGGCTAAGGAAGTTTTGATTACAGAAACAGGAGAAGGCAATGGAACCACAGGGACAGAAATTAGAATGCTGTAGGGACCATGCTAATAACAAAGAGCAAGCCGGATATAGCTAAAAATTCCCATCATGAAGTGAACAAAATGAAGATAACCCCCAGGTGTGCTACTGCAGGGAGAAGAAGGTCAGAAAGAAGAAATACTACAGGAGCACTTTGCATGCCCTGTGGCTTGGCTCTTCTTGGTTCGGCCCTTTATGGAAAAGTTAAGGTTGATCCAGAAATAAAAGGAAGTACTTGAAAACGAGTTAGGCTGCTATAAAATAGCTGGGCTTCTCGTGACCCACTCGTGCTTCTGCTATAGGGCCTCCTCCCCAGGCAGGTGAAGGGGTCAGATGACCTGGCTGGCTTCCCCACTAGTGGTTAGTCAGCACACCAACATGGAGGATGTGCACCCAATTGTCGCGACCCCTTGCCCGCAAGGAAGACGCAACTCAGGAATCTTCTTTCAGCAGTTTATTCAGGCCCTTGATATTTCTTCTTCTCTCTCTCGGATGCCCCTCCCAGCCTTAATAAAGCATCTCAAGCCCCAATGCGAAGCTGCCACGTGGAGCTTTCTCATAGGGTGGTGAAAAACCATGCGCCAACTCTCCCAAATAAGGAGTTGTTTGTCACAGACCACAGCGAAGCCAGCGCCATCTTGTAATGGCGACCATAGTCTGCAGAAACGGCAGAAGCGGCTCACCACACCCAATCATCTGGAATAGGCATCTGGATCTTTTTTAAGTAGGACTAAACAGTTGCTCCTTGTTCCAAAACACTTTTCTGTTTCTGTTGCTATTTTCAGTTCCAAGGTAAATGAAGAGCCATGCGGATGCACAGCAATTGAAACCTTGCCCCTGTTTTGGAAGAGATGTGACTCAGGGTTTCCTTAAAAGGAATTATTCATCGTGTACCCCATTATGTTCATATTTCATTGGAATAAGGAGGAAAATGGAAAGAAAAGAAGAACTACAAAGAAGAAGGAAAAAATAAAAGTATGGGGGCAAGAAAGTCCAAGAAAGAAAGAAAGAGACCATAGGGTGCTTGTGCGTGACTCTCTTTCATATGGAATTAATGGTGGTTTAATGGGGTATGAAAGGATGTTTTACTGGAAACAATGAGGAACAATTGTCTAGCTCACGTTTCATTTCACAGGTCATTATTGCATTAAGAAGTAAATCGACCAAGTCCGGTAAATAACATTCTGCGTATTGCCGAGAGCTTCAAACCAACAATTTTAGCCATCACAAACTAATATCTCTGTCATTTTAACCCTTGCAGGGTTGTGCTAGGGGGCTAAACAATTACAGCCTTCACCCAGTTCTAGCAGGTGAGCATAATTCATTGCCCCTCTAGTCCCTTCTTTTGCAAAACCCAAGAGGCCATATTTTAGCATTGTTGTTTTGTTGATGAGCCAGCCTTAGCCAAATGCAGCTCTGGTAGCCTTGAAAAACAACCCCCATTTTAGTGAGTGCTGCAGGCATCTTTAAACAGACTGCTTCCTTTGCAAAATTAATTGCTGCAAAATGCAGTGCTCCCTCATCTAAGCTTTTGCAAGCTCATACTCAGCTATTTGGGCGGGCCATAGATGTGCCTGAGAGATCTGGGGAAAATGAGCTTTTTTCCTTTATTATAGAAGTTCACATTTGTGTCACCAAGCATCATCAGGCACTGGACATCCAGAAGTTCCTTAATGCCCAAATTCTGGTTCCATTAACTCAGGGACAATTGGAGGATGAGGCAAATGCTGGCAGTAGCATAGTAAAAATCAGCAAAGATGTTTATAGTAAACAATTATAATTAAAATTTAAATAGTAAAATACATATTTAAAATGTACATCAAAATAAAATATTTTCTTGCTTCAACTTGTGATGAAAATTAGACAAAATGATGTTAATATTCATAACATTATGTACTCATGTCAAGGTCAACAAGATTATACTGATAATTTTTACATCAAAGCTTGATATTTACCCTACAGAATAAATATGAAGTTATTCACATTTCCATAGTACTTCTGAAACAAGATAAATGAGATCTAACTTCTTTCTTGAAAGAAAAATAAAATCTTACAAAGATAGCATCTGTATTCTAATCTCTTATTTCTTACTTCACCTTGCCCAACTTTAATTAAGGCCTTAGAAAAATTATGGCATATTCCTCCAAAAAATGCCCTAATCCTGAATATGTGAACATGGCAAAGGGACTTTGCAGATGTGATTAAAGTTCTTAAAGTAGGGAGGTTTTCTTGCAGTTTGAGCATTTGGAAGTAGAGAACTTTCTTTGGCTAGTTTCAGAGAGCTGTAGAAGAGAAAATGAGATTCAAAGCATGAGAGTTCACTGTTGCCTGCTTGGAAGATAAAAGGAGCCACAGTCAGGGAATGCAGGCTCCCTAAAAACTAAGCAGAAACCACAGCCTACATGAAGCAAGGAAATGGACCCTCAGTCTTACACACGGAATTGAATCTGACCAAGAACCCGAGTGAGACTGGAAGTGGATTCATGCCCAGAGACAGCAGAAAGTTCTCCCAGACAGCTCTGGAACAAGGACAGTCAGTCAAGTCCACCATATTTTTGACCTACTAAACTGTGAGACAATACAAGGGAGTTGTTTCGAGACATTAAAGTATTATCAATTTGCTATAGCAGCAATAGAAAACGAATGCCAAAACCAATGAAGCTGGTGATGCTCAAATGTTCAAAGTCACCATCCCAAGCACTGCCATGATAAAAAGGGGCAGCAACAGCAATGGAATATTAGTCACTAAGAGGTACTTCATGCTTATCCCATGCCAGGATGGGGTTAAGGTCTTTATATGCAATCTTTCTTTAAAGCTATCATGTTCTAGGATCTGCCCCTTTGCCACTAACGTGGTCAAACACAAAGAGTACAGCGCAGATGTATGGACAGGCTAGTTTCTACATAAGCAAGGCATAAGGAAAGTTGCATCCTATGAACATCACCCAAAAGGGGAGAGATTATTATCCATAACCACATTTTAAAAAATTAGCTTCACCTCCATTTCTGCATAGCAATTACTTTCAGAAACTTACATTCAATTTTTATTAATATGCCTCCTGTGAGGGAGCAAAGCAAATTGGAATCGGGTCCCACTGGGAGTCCTTAATTCCATAGCAGAAAGATTGGCTGCTAGGTCTAGGAAAATTTCTTTTCTTCAGTTTCCCTTTTGCTGACATGCTATACCTAACATCCAACTCATTTTTCAGGATTTCTATTGGTCATATAAATGAGTTTAGAATCACTGTTCTTGTTAAAATAATAAGTAGTACACGTACATGATTTTTTAAAAGAATATAACTTCCTAATCTTTCCCTCTGAGAAACAGTCCTGAATATCAGGATAGCAGATGGGTAAGAGGCATGGGATCTTTACTTTTCCATTGTATATGTTTTATTGTTTCATTTATTCATTCAACAAAAATCTGTAGGATAATTTCTTAAAAGTGAAGTTGCTGCCATAGAAATATAAGCCTTCAGATGGTTGTTAGATGCCAAAATGCTATAACAAGTAGTATTTGAAAACAATGTTTAAGAATTGTTTACCCACACTTTCCCCAACACTGAGAATTATCACACTTTTTAATTATTGGCAGTCTGATTGGTAAAACAATAATGCTTTTAATTATAGTAGCAGTGGTCATTGTTGTCTTAATAGGAGTGGTAGACACTTCATTGAGCTTTTCTCTTTTAATCCTTACAATAATCATATGAGCATATAGTACTAATATCTCTGCTTCCTAAATGAGGATACAGAGACTAAAGAAGATAAGTAACTTGCTTAGAGTTGCAGATGTAGTGAGTATATCCAATTCTGGTGACTGTACTCAGTGCAACAGTTTTACTCTGCTTTGAAATAAATTGAATTTTATTTATGTTTATTAAATTTGTATTTATTTCTCTATGAAATGCTTTTTGAAATTTTTCCATGTTTTCTCAAATAGTTTATTATTTTCCATCTTAAATTTTAGTAAAAATTCATATAAATATAAATCTATAATTATTATATTTATATGAATTATATATATATATATATATATATATATATATATATATATATATATATACACACACACACACATATATATATACACATATTGGGTTACAATCTTTTCCTAGTTTTTAAGTTTTATTCTAGAAATTCTTTATAGAAGTTTTTAATTTTTATATAACATTTTTCAAACCTTGTTCTATTTTCTAATTTTAATTCATGAAAGAAAATATCTTCATTATTTTATGATTATACAACCTCATTAATATTTTCTGATAAACCTGTGGCTTTTCTCAACTTTAATGCACATGAAATTTATTTTTATAAAGAGAAATATGTAAATTTCTAAAGAATTTTTTTTCTCCTATGTGCTTAGTCAAATACTCCAACATCATTACATGGAGTTTGTGTTTCCTTCTGATTTAAAATGCCATCTTTGCTGTAGACAAAAATCCTCAAATGAATTTGGATTTATTTATTTATTTGTTTTGTTTTGTTGTGCCAGGGACTAGATCAAGGGCACTTCACCATTGAGCCATACCCCAAACTCATTTTTTTTATTTTTGAGACAGGATCTCACTAAATTGCTTAGAGCTTCATTAAGTTGCTGAAGATTTCTTCGAACCTGCAATTTTCTTGCCTTAGTTTCCTGAGCCATTAGCCTATATGTATGTGCCACTCACCCAACTATTTCTGATTTTGTAAAAATTATTTTATCAACATTTCTATTTCTAAGGTATTTTTAATTATTGCCCTTAAAACATCAAAAACTAGAACCAGTTTTTGCACCTACTGTGAATATAAAAATATAAATGCAAATATAAATAAATAAATAAGCATATAAAAAAACAAACACTGAAAACGAAATCAAAGATTCTTTCAGCTGGGCTTAGTGACTTATTCCTGTAATTCCAAATACTGAGGAGGTTGAAATAGGAGGATCACAAGCTCAAGACCAGTCTGAGCAATCCGTGAGAGCCCTACCTCAAAATAAAAATTTAAAAATGTTCTAGGGATGTAGTTTAGTGGTACCACATGCAATTCTGTATATATCGAGATATTACAAATTCTAAGCTCTGGAATTAAACCAAAACTACTGATTAATTTTGTGTTTTTCCAGTATTTCTCAAATAATACTTGTTGATTCTATACACTTCACGCCTTGCAGTTAGTGAGCTTCAGAATACATTTTGGGAAATATTGCCTCATATTAATTTATTAGTTTGCAGGAAGACATGTAAGTTGGAAAGAAATCATAAGATTTTATCATCTTTGATTTGGTAAGATCAATAGGTTCTATCCCCATTCAATGCATAGGTGGCCTCTACCTTTATTTTCTCAGAAAGTTCACACACTTACAAGGCTACATTGTGTATTTTTCAATGAGTTTAATTGATGATTTTAATAAATTTAATTGGAAAAAGAATTTTCAAAATTTATTTGATCATGGACCATAATTTTCACAATCTCCTGATTTAATGATTGAGGAACATTCTTTGAAAATGATAATATAAATTATGCATTAATTAAGTCTATGCAATGTACTTTGTGGGAGAGTTGACTATCACATTAGAATTTGTGACTTTTGACATTTTCATTCATTTGGTGAACATTTACCAAGTTTGTACTATGTTCTAGGAACTGTACTAAAAATTCAAAAATGTTTGCCTTCATGGTTGTTTTAGTCAACTTTTTTTTTTAATCACTGTGACCAAAAGACCTGAAAAGAACAATTAAAGGAGGAAAAGTTTATTTTGGTTCACAGTTTCAGAGGTCCCATCCACATATGGTGGACTCTCTACCTCTGGGCTCAAGGCAAATCAAGGCATCTTGGTGGAAGGGCATGG